CCTTATTTAAATGGGATGTCCAGGATGGAGCACAGTGCTCCAGGTGGGATGTGACAAGTGTAGAGAAGGGCAGAACCATCTTTTCTCTTGTTCTGGTTCTATACTTCTATTAATGCAGCCTAAAATCGAATTACCTCTTTTGGCAGCATCATCACTCTGTTGGCTCACACTGACTTTACAATCAAATCAAGGTCTTTTTCACATGTGCTGTTGTTAAACCAGGCAGGTCTCTTCTATCCTGTGCTAGTGGAACAAACCAGCTGTAGTTGCTGTGAGGAAGTCAAGTCCAGCAGTCAAAGCCCAGTATCTGCAGGGTTTAGTAATAAAGGAAATGTAGTCCAGGCAACCAGCTGGTGGTTGGGGTTCACGGCAGATGCTTCCAGTTGCCTGCTTAGTAAGGATTTCTCTTTCTTGCTCACTTACAGAATCCCAACTTTGCTCAGAGCAGCAATGTGCCAGCTAAAAGTATTGGATTTCCCAGCTTCCTCTGTAGCTAGGAGTGTCCATATGACACAGTTCTAGTCAAAGAGGTGCAGGTAGATATCACTGGGGAAAGTGTTCCATTCTGACTAAAAAAGCAAAGCCTCTCTAGAAGGTCCATTGTCCTTAGCCATCTTGCCCTGTGGCTGTTTCCCCTTCTTTCTGTCTATAATACAGACAGGAGGCCCAGAGCCGCAGCAGCCATCTTGTGAACATGAGGCAAAAAGCAAATAGATGAAAGCTGAGCCTAAGGATGGTGGAGATGATAAGCCAGGGTCTTGATGGCATTGTTGAACTGCTCTTCCATCCCTGGACCACGTACTCAGGGAACTTTTGTTGCCTAAGACAAAGAAACATCTATCTATTTAAGCTGTGGTTGTAGAGTTGTCTATTATTTGCAGCCCAAAGCACACCTAACTGACATAGGGTTATAATATAGGAAAACCGGGGATCCAAATGGAGGGCAAACATGACTAGAGGCATCTAAACATTTATAAATACAAGTGGGCAGCAGGATCAGAGGAGTCCATCAGTAAGACATCAGGTCTTAGCCACTGGGTCAGGGCTTGGGCTCAGGACTCTCTCCCTAGATGGTGTACTAAAAGAGCATGACTGGGCCTAGGCCTTGACAGGCGACTGGTGGTCAGGCCGGGTCTCTGACTGGGGGACTCAGACACAGAACATGAGACAAGGCCAGGGATCAGAACTGAACAAGGAGACTGCCTCAGTGGAAACCTGAGATCAGACTCAGACCTGTGGCAAAGGGACTACTTGATCCTGAGTTCTAGCGTGCAGGGTGGGATGACTTCAACCCTTCCCGCCTTAGGACAGATATAGCCTGCAGGTGGGAGGAAAATTACTCCAACTATGGAGGGAGGAAAGGGACAGAGGGTGGGATCAGGCAAAACCTGACAAGCTTCAGCTCAAGCTGTGCATCAGCCATCCTGACACTCTTCTTACGGGTATGTAAATTCACCCTTAATTACGGGCTCTCATTTCCATCTTTGCCCATGACCTTTTAAGATCTGAGCTTAACAGAAGGCTCCCTGTGTCACCACATTGGTCTCTTTAAATGGATCCCACTTTTACTTCTGCCTAATTGTCGGAATTTCACTGTGGAAAAACCCTTTCCCTCCCTCTACTCCAACTCGTCTTCCCCGCTGCCTGGTTTGAGAGCACTCTCTCACTCTTCTTGGGCAGTCTGGGTCCCCTCAGAAGTGACCCACCTTTACCCTCTGGCCTTAGCCCCTGCTGACCTGGGAGCAGGTAGAGAGAAAAGGCTGGGAAGAAGGCTGGTCAGGGCCCACCAGCTCTGGGGAGAAGCAGCCCCCTCCCCACCTGGCTATTCTGTTCCAGGGGCCCAATTAGAGGCCAGTGCCTTCCCTTCCCCCATCCCAATTTCTTGTGTCATCTAGAGCGGGAGAAGGAGAACTTCCTCTGACCCCTGGTGTGCTACCACTTCTCCTTTGTGCGCAGTGGGTACTGTGTGGGTAAGTTATTGTTATATTGTGCTCCTGTGATAAATGGACCTTTGTGAGACACTTTTTCACCCTGTCTGTGCTGGGTAGAAGGGAGTCTTGCCTGAGTGACTTCTCACAGAAAGCTCCAGAGGTGCTCAGAGCTGATAGCCTAGGCCTGGCAGGCTGCTCTTTCATTGGCACTCAAGGGTGTCAATCATTGTGGTCCTGCCAATCAGCTGTGAACTAGGTATCTGTAGGTGATTAGCCTTCTTTGTTAAACAGAACACTGAACCCTCCAAGGACTAAACAAAGAATGGCTCTGGAAAGACGGTTCCTAGGTGCACAGGGGCAGTCGTGCCCATGTCACTAATTTGAACCCTTTAGTTTCATCCTCCTTCGTCAGGCCCTGTCTCTACTTGATTCCTTACATCTAGGCCCGTCCTAGGTTCTTTCAGTTCTACCCCTGTTATTTCCCTCCCATGTGCATTTCTTCTCTCCTCCCCTGCTGCTGCTGCCTTGTTCAGCCCTCAACAACTCTTACCTGGACTACTAACCAGTCTCCTAACCAGTTTCCCTGCCTGGAGTCCCCCGGACCCACCCCCTGCCCCACCCAACACAATCTCCATCCCTGAAGCCAAATCAATCTTCTAAAAATACAAATCTGATTGTGTCACCTCCTACTGAAAACCTTTCAACCTCTCCCATGGCTCTTAGTACCCTTGGGATAAAGTCCAAACTACTTAGCATGACACCCAGGGCCCTTCATGACTTGGCTCCTGCCAAATCGTCAGCCTCATTTTTGGCAGTGCTCCCATTTCACACGTAGTCACAATGAACTACTTTGCAGGTTTCTGAGCATGCCATTCTTGGCTTTGCTCCTGGGACTTTACACATGACATTCCCTCTGCCTGGGACATCCTTCACACACCACCTTCTCTCCCATCTGTCTAACCAATTCTTACTCATTCCTTAAGACTTCGACTAAACTCCCGCAGCCCAAGACATGTATTTCACTCATGTCTATATCTCTGATGCCTAGTACAGTGTCTGGAACATAACAGGTCCTCAGTAGATGTTTGCTAAATAAATGAATGAATGAATGCCCCCAACTCAGTTGGCTATGTGCAAAATCATCTCTGAGGGACGCTGGCAGAGTTGATCAGTCCCTCTCTCTATGGAGGGAGACCTCTCCTCCCTTGCGTATCATCCTTACTATACTGGGTTACAATTCCTTCTCTAAAATATCTGCCTCCCTAATTCAACTGTGAGCATCTGAAGGGCAGCGCCATGTCTGATCCACCTCAGGCTCCTACCTAGTCCCCAGCATAGTGCTTGGAATATAATGAATAAGCCTCCCAAATGCCTGACAGTTTTGTCCCTTGTCTCAAATCCCTCTACTCTTCCCCACAAATTCTCACCACCAATACAGCCAAACTGTCACACTCATGACTTTGCAACCATACAAAGCTCCTCCTCATCCCTGAAACTTTTCACCTGCATTCCTATTACCTGAAATGCCCTTCCCACCCACCCACCCACTCAAATTCTGCTACTTCTTTAGGAACCAGCTCAAATTCTCCTTCTTCCAGAGAGCTTTCATGCATCCACCCCAGCCCACCTCTGAGTAATGCTAACAATGCCCACCCATCTCATACAGCCCTGGGCATCCCCTCGTGTTACTCAGGGGAAAACCAAGACTCAGAGAAAGGACTCTCTCAAGGGCACAAAGGATGTGCAGTGGTAGAACTATTACCTGAACCCAAGTCTCCAGTCCACGAGTTCTCCCAGTAGCCAACATATGTGCCTCATCTGTATATTCCTCATGAAGACTACAGTTTCCTAGAAGGCAGGACTATCTTCCACCCATTCATCTTCCCAGGGCTTGACTGGAGTGTGGAAAGCTCTAGAGCCAGACTGCCTGCGTTTCTCTTTTGGCCTCATTGGTTACTAGCTGTGTGACTTTAGGCAACCTAACCACCCTAAACCTCAGCTTCCTCATATGTAAATGAAGATAACAGCAGTGCCTACGTAATTAGACTGTTGTGAAGATTAAATGAAATAATGAATGTAAAGTGCCTAGAGCAGTATCTAGCACCTAGTAAATGCTCAACAAAGGCTACTTTATTGTTGGTATTCTTAATATTAACAAAAATTAGAGGTGGGAGTTACTGGGGTGGGAGGGAATGAGAAAAGGAAACAAGCGATCGGATCAGTCTGAGATTTGGTGGAATCCAAACAAGGTTAGTGGTGCAGCAGGACGTTTGTACATCTGAGTTCCTAGTGCCATGTGACTCTGTGAGGGCCCCAAGCACATGGTTCCATCCTGGCGGCGCAGCTTCCCTAACTCTCGCTCAGCTATTCTCAGCAGCCTGTAGGGGGAGCCAGGAAGCTAGGACGGGGGAGAGGCTGGTAGAAATCTTACTAAGGGCAGAAACAACACCCCATCGCTACTACCCATCTTAGCCCACTGTCTTGCCCCCTCCAGGACTCTCTCTAAGCTCTGTCCTCTGCAGCAGCTAAGCCGGGAGCTGTCCTTCAGCACCAGGGGCCGCCTTGGCCTGGGGCAGGACAGTGAGGGCGACAGCGGAGTTAGGGACACTGGACTGGTCCGATCCGCAGCCGGCTCCAGCGTCGCCTAGTCACGGGGACGGGGGCGGCGACCCAGGGTGGCAGCGAGACGCTACGGAGGTGCCTCCTTCTGCCTCTAACAATCACCCTCAGAAGTCCCCTAGCCCTCAGGGGGAGCGACCGGCTGCTTCAGGGAGGGAGGCGGGCTCCCGGGTCAGCGGGGGAGGGGGAGCGCCGGGCCTGGGACTCAGCGTGCGGCGAGCGCACGCGGGGAGCGGGCGGATGAACGGAGGCGCTGAAGTGAATGGAGTTGGGGGTGGACTGGAAACATCCCCAAACAGCACAGGCTGCGGCCGGCTGGGGGGGGGTGGGGGGGGGAGTCCTGAGGCGCAGGCGCAGTCGGGGCCCCAGTCCCGCTCCCTCCTCCTCTTCGTGGCTCTTTCTCCGCCCCCACTCCCCCCCAAACACACTCGCACACGGGCTCTCAAGGTGTTCTCTGCACAGCGGAAGATGGCGACAGACTGAGGGGCATGGCCAGCAGGAGCCAAGGGGCCGTGCCGCTCGGCGGCCGCCACGGCGGTGCGAACGCGAGGCGGAAGCGAGAGGCGCACTAAGTAAAGCCCCGCGTCGGCGTCCGGCGCCTGTGGCGCCGCCGGGAGCCAGGTGGCCCGCCCGAGCCGGAACTCCGGGAGCGGCGGGCGCGGAGCCGGAGCGGAGCTGGCCCGGGACCGGCCCCGGCCAACGGCCAGAGCGCGAGCGAAGCCCGAAGGGCCGAGCAGAGGGCCGGCCGGCGGGCCTAGGAGGGCGCGAGCGAGGCTGGGAGCGGCGCAGAGCGGGCGGCCGGCGGGCGGGCGGACGGGCGGGCGGGAGCTGAGCAGCGCGGCGCGGGGCGAGCGAGCGGAGCGGAGCGCGGCGGCCGGGCCCGCACGGCGGCGCTGAGGGGCGCAGAGCTGCGCCGAGCCGAGACGGCCGGAGCGGAGTGCTAGCCGGGCGGCAGCCGGCGCGGAGTGAAGTGGCGCTGAGCCCGGGGCAGCTGAGCGGCCCGACACTATGAGGAGTGCGGCGCCGCCGCCGCAGCCGCCACCGCCCCAGTGCCCCGCACCGCCCCCCGCCGGGACGCCGGGCAGCGCCTAGCGGGCCGGGCGGCCGCGCCCGGGCGGCGAGCGAGGGAGCGCGGGAGGGGCGCGGGGACGGCGCGAGAGCGCCCCGCCACTCCGGCCTGAGCGGGGCCCCGGGCCGGCCGGCCTGCCTCGCCATGCAGCCCCCGAGGTAGAGCCTGGACGGCGCCGAGGAGCGCGGAGCGGCGCGCAGCCGGCTTGCCCGCCCGCCAGCCCGAGACGGCCGTCCGGCCTCGCGCCCGCCTTTTTCCTCCAGCCCGGACCCCCCTGAAATATGTTCAGGGGCGCTTGGATGTGGCCCGGGAAAGACGCCGCCGCGCTGACTATCTGCTGCTGCTGCTGCTGGGCTCCCAGGCCGAGCGACAAACCTTGCGCCGACTCCGAGCGGGCGCAGCGATGGCGACTGTCCCTGGCGTCCCTGCTCTTCTTCACCGTGCTGCTCGCTGACCATCTGTGGCTGTGCGCGGGGGCCCGGCCCCGGGCCAGGGAGCTGAGCAGCGCCATGCGGCCGCCCTGGGGGGCCGGCCGGGAGCTGCAGCCGGTGCCTCCTCGCGCGGTGCTGCCGCCGCCGCCGCAGCCGCCCGACCAGCCCAGCGCGCCCCCAGGCACCTGCGGCCCGCGATACAGCAACCTGACCAAAGCCGCCCCCGCCGCCGGTCCCGGGCCGGACTGCGGCGGCGTCCCAGAACCCACGGGGCTGGACGCAGCTTGCACCAAATTGCGATCTTTGCAGAGACTTTTCGAACCGACCACCCCAGCGCCCCCTCTACGGCCCCCCGACTCCCCTTCCCGTGCCCCGGCCGAGTTCCCCACCGCCAAAAAAAACTTGCTCAAAGGCCACTTTCGGAACTTCACTCTTTCCTTTTGCGACACCTACACGGTCTGGGACTTGCTGCTGGGCATGGACCGCCCCGACAGCCTGGACTGCAGCCTGGACACCCTGCTGGGGGACCTGCTGGCCCTGGTGGCTAGCCCGGGCTCCGGGGCCTGGGAGGTGTGTAGCAACTGTATCGAGGCGTACCAGCGGCTCGACCGACATGCTCAGGAAAAATATGACGAGTTCGACCTCGTGCTGCATAAATACTTACAGGCAGAAGAGTACTCAATCCGGTCCTGCACGAAAGGCTGTAAGGTAGGGACTGGCGTCCGCGGCCACAACGGCTGCCGCTTCGGCGGCGGGAGCCGTGGCGGTGGGACCGGGAGAAAAAAGGAGGTTTCCCCCTCTACCCACCTCACCTCCCCCCATCACCCCCACCGTTCTCAGTGGGGCACGGGTAGTGCTACCTTGGGACCCTCCCGGGAAGCAGGGCCTCAGGGATTCAAGTCAGGTAACCACCTGGCCAACTTCTATTGATTCTGGCTTTGGGCACCATCTGACTGGGGCTTTCTCGCGCCCCGCCCCCCGCATGAGGAGGGAGGGGTCCGGGGGCTCCCTCGGTTGGCAAAGGGATGGAAAGAGGGCTCTGGCTCCCCCAGCCCCCGTCCTCACCTAGCGGTGCCCCTTTCCTTTCCTTGGCTGGAATGGAAAGTCCTGGGACTGGCTGGTGCAGGGGGAAGGCCAAAGGTGGGGGAAGACTATTTGGCCACCTAACCCTGACCCTTTGGCCCCTGCCAGTGGGTGAGAGGAGGGGCACCTGGTTATGGGGCACAGCACACTGGTGACCTTATATGACCTGAGGTGGCTAGTCAGAGTCTAAGCAGGTGGAGCCCCAGGGTGCCTGTTTTCTCCCAAGGATGTACCTGCCAGCTCCTCTCCCCTGACAAGAGAAGGAGCTGGGAGCAGGGCACAGCAGCTTGTGGGAGGACTACTGGAGGCTGGTGCACTACAGAAGTTCCAGTGCTTTCCCAGTGCCCTGGGGTGGCAGTGGAGGGAAAGCTGGCTTACTGGCTGTTGGGGACAGGCATCCAGAGGAGAGGCGGGGCCCCTGCAGAATGGGCCTGCCTAGGGCAGAGCTGAGTGTTGAGAAACTTCTTGACCCTGAGCAGGGTCGTTCTGGACAGTGGGTGTATGGGGGCTGTAAACATTTGGGACACGGTGCTACTGCTCTGTTTGTGCAGCCTGGCCAGGTGGCCTGCCTCTGAGAGGAAAGAGAACAGCAAGGTCAAAGGGTCAAGTGAAGAGGAGACCAGGTGGGGTGCTGGTCTCACCCATCCTCAAGCTGGGGGCTGAGAGCTGGAGAGGGAGACAGTTGCCTCATAGCCTAGCTTGTCTCCCTCCGAGGCTTTGGGGAGGGACAGAAAGTGCCCCTTTCCATCTGACGTGACCCCTGCGGACTTCTGCTGGGTTCCACGCTCTTGGTGGGCTCCTTAGGGATTGGGGCAGGGGGTTGGGGAGGAAACGGGTAGCTCCTTGCTCCTGACTTCACTTTCTCGTTCTCCTTTTTCCTGTTCTCGTAACCTAGCAGTCTCCCTCCCGCCTCCCTCAGCCTCAGCTGACTCACTGCCTCACTCACACTACCAAATGAGATATTCCACTTCTTAAAGGTGTACAGACAGATAGACACACACACACTGCCAAACAGCACCACCACCACCCCGGGCAAAGTCACACAGAGGTAGAGAGAGGTCGTCAACACCCACAAACGGTGCCACAGAAGCAGACAAGGTGTCATACATATGCACATCTCCCCAGGATGTCAGAGACACACAGGCAGAAGTACTGTCACATGAAAAAGGACACATTTTGTCATATAGAGACACACACCCTTGATGTCAGTGCGAGCAGAGGGACACGGGCCACTAGCAGACGGAATAAAGGATGTCTGCCTTTTGTGGCCTTCCCTCCAACCCCGTGGCCCCGACTTTTTCTTTCCCACAATCTCCAGGATGAAAAAGAGACCATGCTACAACTTTCCCATGGGGTTTTCTCCAGGTCATAGTTGGCTTCAGGCTCTGTCTGATCCGGCACTAAATGATAATCCCTCATGTTGATTATTTTTACCAAGCAGTTTGTTGGAGGAGAAAGACGACTGATATCTTGGATTCAGGAGGCCTGATCATCTCTACCACTTGTTCGTAGTGTGACCTTGGGCACGTCACTTCACTTCTCTAAGCTTTTGTTTCCTCATTCGTAAAACAAGGATAATAATCCTGGCTCTGCCCACATCCTGAGTCTTTTGTGAGATTGAAGTGGGAAAAGGTAGCTGATAGTATTTTGTAAGAATAACAGAACACCTGGCAGTGATGTCCTGCTTAGGGTTTGTAGCCTCTTTCACGTGTATTATGAGATCACAACTGCCAGGGGAGGCTGGTAATACCAGCATCATGGGCCCCATTTTACAGATGGGGAAACTGAGGTGCAGGGGGCTCAAGCAGTTTGCCCGAAGGCCAGTCGGCTAAGGAGCAGGAGTGCCAGGACTCCAACCCGCATGGCGTCGATGCTAAGCTCACGCTTTGGCCATGGCCTCTCATCAGGTTTGCAATGGCCAGGGCCCTCCCTGCCCTCCTTTGTCTCCTTGCCGCTTTCACACTCTCACTCTCTCTCTCCCTCTCAAGTGAACTCCGCCTGCTCTCTTGCTGCCTGCTGTGCTGGGAGAAGGGCAGTGTCAGCTCCACAGCTTTCTTCCTGTCTTTCCCACCCTCTCCAACATGCTCTCCCTTCACTGAGGCCTACACCCACAGGCCTCTGGATTCCAGCTGTATTACAGGCCCTACAGGAAAAGACAGCCCTGCTCTCCTCCTTCCTGCAGCCCCTCTGTCTTCACCCCAGTGCCCCACCTCTATCCCAGGCCTTTTTTGCAGATCCCCAAGCCTGCCCCCCAGTTTCAAGCCCTGCTGTCCAGCCCCTCCCCCAAATGGGATCCCTTGGAGATAATGCCACATCCTCCAAGCTTCTCCAGGGTGGAGAGCACACCGCCCCAGGCTAGGGTGAGGTGGCTTCCTCTGTTGCTGGAAACCAAACCTGGAGCCTTTGCTCCAAGGCCAGGTGACCCCATCCCCGGGGGCCTGTCCCCAGTATTTCAGTTAGATCTTTCCCGGGCAGCCCCAGAAACCCTGTTCTCTCCCTTTGCAACATCTGCCCCTGTTTCGGGCCACACAGGGCCCCACACATCATACCTGTCCTCACTGCTGCCTGTGACACCTCCCAATTTAGTACCAGCTGTGACATTTCCTTAAAGTGTGACTGACTTCCTCTCACACAGCAGGGCGATGATAACTTAGGGAGGCCAATGCCCGTTCCCACGCTGGCCTCTCCCAACCCCTGGGGCCCCGCTCCACCCCTCCCTTACCTCCCTGTGCACGTCCCCTCAGCCCTTGCCTCCTGCTCTGCTTAGCCCTTCTGGCCCTGCCTGTGGTTACTGGACCACCCCCTCGCTCCCCCAGCCCTCTCCATCTCCCAGCCCTGCCACACCCCGCCTGGTTCTGATTGCCTCTTCCTCCACCTCTGCCCCTTCCCTACTCTAAATTGAGGATAGTCTGATGGGGGGTGGGGGGGGCAGTGGTGGAGATGGGAACAAAACCCTGGCCTCTTCTCTCATAGCTCTGATCCAAGAAGGGATAGAAGGCCAGTTCTCAGTTCTCACTAGCCATAGGGCCACAACCATAAAGGTTAATGCCAAGGAAGGATGCGATAGTTCTGTTATCTTCGGGACTGGCCCACACCCACCTGGCATATTGTGTGTTTGGTTCTGGGTCTCACACTGAGCAGTTTAGGAGGAGGCTAAAACTCAAGCTCTCCTGGACAGAGTTGAAGGAGCTGTTTCACCTGACGAAGAGGAGACTCAGGAAGGTGTGGTCTCCAACTTCAGACCTCAGAAGAGTTGTCAGGATGCAAAACAAGAGGCATGTCCTGCTTAACCTTCGAGGGACTTCATGGTTAGAAAGTCCTGGGTTCAAGCCCAGCTTTTTAATGTATTACCTGTGTGACCTTGAGCTAGGGACTTCAGCTCTCTCAGCCTCACTTTTCTCATCTGTAAAATGGAGGTAATTCATCAGAACAGCCCTATGAGCTCATTATTAATGAGAAGTCTGCACAGTACCTAGGCCTGGCATATCAGAGTTGTTCAGTTAACAGTTTTTTCCTTCCAAAGAGGGAACAGAGTGCCTTGAGAGGAGGTGAGTTCCTGCTCCCAGGGGAAAGGTCTAGCCTGATTCAGACAGACCCTGGGGGAAATGCTGTGGAGATGACTCTGACTCCGGAGTCTAGAGCGGGTTGGATCAGCTGACCTCTGAGGTCGGTGTCAGCTCAGAGTTCAGGCCAGTGAGCAGAGCCTGCTGCCGCAACAGCAGCACTGGATGGGCAAGGCCAGGGAAGGAGGCCTAACACCCACACCCAGCCAGAGCCAGCACCTCGCCTTCTGCCCTTACCCGTTGGGGACCTCTTCCTCCACTCCGGCTGGCAGCTGTTTCTGCCTCGCTGCCTTCCTCTCTCCTCCCACCTGCCACAGTTTTCCTGCCAAGCAGGATTCCCAGGCTAACGCTGGTGCCGAGAGCAGGAAGCTCGGGGCACTGGGCAAAGGGAAGGAGCCCCAAGTTGGCAAGTGGTCCCTGTTGTCACCCAAGCTTTCAGGCACGGAGCAGTGCCCCACAGTCAGCCTCCCTGACCCAGGGTTCGTGAGGGCAGAGAGAGTACCCTTGTCCCCATTTGGGGGTGGAGGAAGGGGGAGGCAGTCAAGAAGCAGCCTCCCAGGACCATGGCAAAGGCTCCCCTGAGGAGGGGTGTCCAGATCCACCGAAGTTCACTGGCCATGAACGTGAGCACCGGGCTTCTGGGAAGGGCCGGGGACGGAAAAGGCAATGTTTGTAGCTCAGACAGGGTATAGGGGCTTAAACGTGAGAGTGGGAAAGTGGCCCCATGCTGCCCACACCTCTCCGGATCCCCTCACCCCCACCCTGACCCACCCCACTACCAATCCCCATATTCCTCCCAATTTTGGCCCACAGCCAACACCCCCACATACCAATGACCCCACAACCTTCCCAACCTTCTGCTAGACCCTTCCCAAACCGCACCCACACCTCACTCCTCCAACGCCCACTTCTCCCCACAGTTGCCCCCACCTGCTCCCCCCCCTCCCCTTCCCCCCACGCCCCTCCCTGCTCCCTTCTAACGGCCAGCCCTCTCCCATCTCCCATCCAGCTCCACTCCCCTCATCTCTCACCTCTACCTCATACTCCACCAACCTTTACCCC